GTATGGAGGTTCCTTAAAAAACTAAAAACAGAGCTACCATATGACCCAGCAATCCCACTCCTAGGCAAATATCTGGAGAAAACCACAATGCAAAAAGATACATGCACCCTTATGTTCACAGCAGCACTATTCACAATAGCCAAGACATGAATGCAACCTAAATGTCCACTGACAGATGAATGGATAAAGAAGATGTGGTTATATACATACAATGGAATATTACTCAGCCATAAAAAAGAATGAAATAATGCCATTTGCAGCAACATGGATGGACCTAGAGATTATCCTACTACTACTATTATCCTACTAAGTGAAATAAGCCAGACAGAGAAAGACAAATATCATATGATACCACTTATATGTGGAATCTAAAAGAGATATCAATGAACTTATTTTCCAAACAGAAACAGACTCATGTATACTTGAAACTAACATGATATTGTAAATCGGCTATACTTCAATAAAATAAAATTTTTCAAATTACGTATTTTTTTAAAAAAGGGTTTTATGGTGAGAACCATGAGCTGATTCAGTAAGTTTCCACTAAACTACTAGCAATTTTATCCTCATTCTGCTCACTGTTCCTATGTATGTATAATCTGTTAGAGCATAGGGGAAATTAGTATGTACTGAACTGTTACTAAGATATTCTATATCATTTTAAAATAGAAGTAGCCCACCGGGCATCAGGGGCCATAGAACAGGACATGGTCAGGCAGACAGCTTGAGTCCTGGCTCTGCCATGTAGCAGCTGCAAGGCAAAGCACTCACCCAGCTGGGTTCCTTGAGTATAGAAGGGGCTGCCGTAAGGTTTAAATAAGATACTGCATGTGGAATTTCAGACATGGATGGGGCCATGGCAGGGCTTCTATGTGGCCCAGTTTCCATTTCTCTTCCTCTAACAGAATCAAAAGAACGACCATTTGTAGAACTAATATAATATGTAAAGTGCTTTCAAATAAAGAAGTAATTGATCTAGTCATACTTATTAATACTGTTTGGATCAAGATATATTAGACTTTCAACTGAATCAACTTTCTAGTGATTTAGAAGCAATTTAGACAAAGCCTTTCTAGCGCCTGACATATTGCCCCAGGCAAGTTCTGATTTGGTTTCTTTCTGGCTGTGCTACCCCCACCAAGTCACATAATTTCTGTTTCCCAGTCTTTGAAATGTGGATAATGTCTGTTTCTAAGGTTTGTATGCATCAGGTAAGGTAACTGCCTCAGGCAATACTGATATTTCTAATTAGATGAGAGTATTCAAAACCCAAGAACTTCTATAGTGTGGGTCTTCTCTTACTGTTTAGGAGTCTTTTTTATTCTGTGAAAATAGAAGTATTATTTCATTTTTCTGTAAGTATTTGGTTATAAGTTTCACTTTGGGAAGCTCCTTTTCCTTTTTTCATAACTTTGGAGAATGTGGTCCCTAAACTTTATTAATTCCATTACTCTCATTTATTATTCATTTTAAGAATGTTTTGACTTCTCCTAAATATCACTCAAGAAAATTTCTAAATATTGCAGTTAGGTCCTAAATACTGGAAATATTTTTCCTCCTTCTGTTATTATTTTTCATATTTTCACTTACTATCTCATCTCCACAGAACTTGGTCTTAAAACCTGATCTGCCATGTGCTACACACACATAAATAGTTGTGTAGGATACCTTGTTTGTGCTAAAATGAGATGACAAGATATGACAGTAGTTTGGAAATTTAAAAGCAAGCTCTATACGCATTAAGGTATTACTATACAAATGTGAATGCAACATTTATTTATTAGGGATATGGAAATAGGGGAGCCTTTCAGACCTTCTGAGCTGAGTCCAATTTAGAATTATAGGCTAGAAAGCTACGTTTTCAGCATGACAGGCAATCCATTGTTTAGATGTGTTTACATCATTACATTTCATGGTTTCAAAAATCCTATCAGTACTGAACTTGATTTTGTTTCTCACGTATTTACTTAAGACAATTTGATGCCACAGTATTGCTTACATCAGAATAAAAGCAAACAATAGCCGTACTATTTAAAATCCTCTGGATTCCAAGACAAGTATTTTAAACATTGGTTCGAATTGAAAACAAGTAATCAAACACTGTGTTACCTTTTAAAAAAATATTTGCTAACGAACAAATTTAATAGGTGGAATGGACATTAAATTTATCTCAATTTAACCTTCAGCATTGGCTTTTCAAGTTAAAGCACTTCCACACATCTGCTGGGCAAAAGCTATGCTCCTACGAATTACTGCAGCCACCAAGAACTTAAGGTTCCTGGCCTATGGCTAGAATTCCAAATCACTCTTCTGGGGGCTCAGGTAAACCTGAAGCAGTAAAGGGGTTTCTGAGAACAAGGATTTGTCCAGGTGATTTTCTTTTAATTGCGTTTTCCTTTCTTTTAGTAAGTAAGTAAGAAAGCCTGAAGGTGGACTTCTGCCTTTTAGTGGGAAACAGGCTGGTTAGGCATGCGTTACCCGACCTCAAGTAAGCCCCTTGGGAGAAACCCCTTGGGAAGGAACCTCAGGGACTGAGCTCCTGGTTGGAAGGAGGTGTAACTAGCTGCTTGCTTACAGGAATTTTAATTGCTAAAATTGCTAATTCAAGTCCTTAGGAAGAAGACTTGAATTCAGCTTTACTGGCTAAAGGCCTAACATTGGGGAAGATGTGGTCTAGAGACAGTTTGATGGGTTCTAAAAAAAAAAAAAAAAAAAGCGAACGGATTTCAAAAATTATTACAGCAAATGACCAGAAACAGAATAAGAAAAAACATCAATTGGGTGGCTGAGTGGTGAAAAAGTCACATAAATAAAACTGTTCAACAACAAAATTACCGAGTATTTCATATTTTGACAGGTTAAAGCTTTGAAATGGTTCTATTTTTTAAAAGGTACCCATTCATTTCTCCACGAGTTTTGGCATTTCTAGACTGGGAAAGAGCCTCAAGACAAATAAAAAACTGCAATTAACACAGCCTAAAGAGCTGCAATCCCAGAATCCCTTTTTCTTATCGATTGGATTCCTGTAGTGCCATCTCCTGTTTATTCTGCAGCAAAAGTGCTGTATTGAGCAGTGGGATATTAGAAAGCTTCTAATGAGCTCCTGGCTGCTGATGGAGGCCTAGGTCTCCATCAGTCATCCGATCATTGTGAACAGTACACGGGAGGGAAATAAGCACATTCACACAGACCTCCCATAACTCCCAACTCATCCACTGCTTACCTCATTTCTCTTTGTGCATTTTGGCCTTTCTCACCTGGCCAGATAAAAGTTCATTCAATTTTCTCAAGGGCAAGACAATTCCAGAAAGGGATGCATTCTGATTGGAATGACAAGAAAAAGATCTAGGCTCTTCAGACGGTAATACTGCCCCTAGGTTGTGAATCTCACAAAGACCATAAGGGAGCAATTGCTAGATTACCTCTGAGTGTGCATACTCAGGCAAAAGAGTAATTAATTTCCTCTCTGAAAAAAACTGCACTATGTGGAGAACTCGCATAAATTACATGAGCAGTTCAGACAGGTGATTCTCTTGCTGAATTTGGCACAGTCAATAACAGATAATGCTTGTTAATGGATGATCCGCCCTTATCCAGGGAAGAAAAGGGTCCAGGAAAGACCCAGTTTGCATTAATACATAAAGACTACATGGTTCAAGGTTAAAACAAACCATGTCTCTGAAATGCTGTCATTAGAGAAATTTAACCACATATGTGATCCACAGATACTAACAAATAGCAGGAAATGTATGAACATCTTGGGGAAAAAAGCTTTTAGATTCTTTATTTTAAAAAAAATCAGTGAAAACAGTAATAAGGATTAAAAGACAATACTTAACAAGAGAGAGAGGGAAAATTATTCTTTTCTAGTCTCTCCCACATTTTCCACCTCCCTTCAATAAAAGATTCTCCATAATCCCAACATTGCTATTATTTGCACAAAGAACCCTGAGAACAATTTGATATTGAGCAAGTTGAAAGGAGACACAATATCTCAGACCCCTTCTCTCCAGGGCATATGCAGGCAGAATAGCCATGGCTTCCAGAACATTCTCTTCACATTTTTCTTTCGTGAGCGGCAGCACTGAATGTTTACCAAAGGCTTTAAAAAAACAGTACCGCACCAAACAGCTGAGAAAAATATTTAACAACCAAGGCAACGCAATTGCAGTCAAATTTTCACCTCAAGATTCTCATCTTAGGTGTGGGAGGCAGAGAAGCCTCTCAACGCTGAGTCTGAACCTAGAATGAGGATGAAAAGGGTTGATTCTGCCAACAGCTGTCAACAAATGCATAGCTGTGAGCCTCGGGGTGACACTGCAGAGCTAGCTGCCCATCTGAATGTGCTTTAGGAAGAGCACCACTATTTGGTTATGGCTGACCTGAGTTCCTGAGCAGCAATCTGCGGACAGGTGAAACACGGACATCCATACCCAAAACATGGAAAGGTCTGAACAGGACAGACCTCTCTCTTCAGTTATTTGTGTCAGGCAGCAGCATCATTTTCAACCACTCAAGGTGACAGTATGAGATGGATGCAACTAGTCCCCATTGTACAATTCTACACAAATGTGTAAACTTGAGAGAAAATGAACCACATTTCTCGGAGTTAATACTCTCCCACCCCCAACTTTTGCCCTGTCATCTGACCAATTTACATTCTATAATCTAGACTTTTATGATTTATTTTTTCATTATGACTTGATTCTTACACAGTATTACTCCCTTTAGGGCAAAGACTTTCTGGGTGCAAAGAGATCAGACATAATTTCTTCAGTAAAGAAATGGATAACAGGGATCAGTGTATACATTCCATTCCCAGAAAGGTCCATTTCATTCTAGTTCAACTGAGCAGAGAACGAAAGTCATGGCATAAAATGATAAAACTCCAGTTACGTTGTGCACAGCAGGCATCCATTGTAAGCAACTGTTCAAAACTGGAATGCATTACTTGATATGGGTGAAAGACAAAAACATCACAGACGCTTTGAACACCTTACCTGGGCCATCTGCCTCTCCAGTTTTGATCGGGGAATATCATCAAAGTAGTTTTCATTCCTTCTCCTCCTTGCATCGCCCTGCATGATAATGTGAGGAACGTCTAGGGAGCCACCAGTGGTGTAAGTGCTTTGGCTAAGTGATGGAGACAACTGAGGAGGAGTGTGATTACCACTGGGTTCCTGAATGGAAATACATCATGAAATAAATACCATGTTCTTGTGGCTGACCTCTGGTTTCAAAACTGTGAAATACTGACAAGATACACTGCGGGGGTGGGGAGTCATTTTTGAATCAACTGCCAAGGAATTGATGACATTCTACCATTTTATTAATGGCACAATCAATACCTCCCCACTAAGCATTTCAGGTTGAAGGTTTACAATATCAACAATCAGGCTCTCTTTTCTTAAGCCAGCACCATGGATGATCCCAGGAGAGAGGCACACATCTGCTGGGCACCCCTGACACTATCACTTGTGTTTACAAGGGAAGGAACTGTGTCTCTATGTGGACAGAGGGGCCTCACCATGGTAGATGCCATGACAAGAAAGCTAAAGTGGGACCTCATGGGTGTTGATCCTCCATCAACGAGTGGCCTGGCAATCCCTGCCAGGAAGAGGACACAGTATGGAAATGGCATGTCACACGCACAGACTGCAGAGCAATGCATGTAATGACAGAGGATGGGCTTCAATGGCAAAGAGAACTGGGGGAAACTGGTCAAGAAGTAAGATAGGGGCTTCCCTGGTGGCGCAGTGGTTGAGAGTCCGCCTGCCGATGCAGGGGACACAGG